GATATTTACAACAGTTCCATAATTAGACAGTGCAGTTTTTTTTTTATTAACGTCATTATAAACACTGTTAAACATATTAAATCTAACAGTCGAATATCTTTGGATATGGGGTAACCCATATCTATTCTTGTTTACTACTACAGTATAATTTAACTTAAATAATATGATGCCATACAATAATTTCTGAAGTGTATGACAGCTTTAATTTGAAAGTAAATTTGACATATTTTTCAATTTCTGAAGTAATATGGTACAAACCTGTAAGATCTCTGCTTAAAATCCCAGGTGTAAACCTTCATAGAACAAATGAGCAGAAACAATTAAAGGAGTGCATCTCCCTCACACGGATGTCAGAATCCAAACACCAATAGCCTGGGGCCTGAATCAGACAAGAGACACACTACAAATTGCTCATCCACATTAATCTATACATTGTGCTGTGCCTTTGGTCAGAAGACATAGATTTAGCTGCCAGAATATCAATGTATACACACAATCTGATGGGGAGGTGATGACCCAAATGTCAGGTCAAGGAACTGAAGAATTTGCTTTTATTTTTACTTTCAACAACAGTTATACATGTAATATGTCTTATCTACATCAATAATAATCAGACGAGGATTTTTTTCTGGAAATTACTTTTTTCTCTCTGACTGCTTTTACCCCCCCTGATTCAACTAATGACCCAATTTTAGTGGCCCCTTTAGAGGATAATCTTGAAAATAGTGTACCATACCATTTTTATTTAATTTTTTATATGAAACATGACAGAAAAGAAATAGGCATGTTACATACATGTAAGAGACTTGAATACCCATGGAGAATTCTAATACACATATTATTGACATAAAAGAGATAAAGCTTCAGAATCTCTTGCTTCAATTTAAACCTTGATCACATTGAAGTTTACATGTATCAAGATTGAACTCAGGCAGAAATTAGAATTTTATTAAAATAATCCATGTTATCAGATCTTCAATTCACAACCAACAGGTGTTGAGATAGTGTCTGTATCAGAAAAAATTCAAATTGTACTAGAGTTTACCCTTACAAATTGTAAAATGATGAATCATATATAACTCCAGTGTTTCTATATACAGTTTCCTGAGGAAAGAGCAAACAAGTTCTATATATATATAAATTTATGTAAAACATATTTCATCAAGTTGTTTAACAATAGCAACATGTTTTTAATAATACATCTATTTAAATAATAAACCATTATATTAGACAGAAAATCTCAGTGCAGTGGCAGATTTGGGGGTAGGCACACAGGGCACCTCCCCCCCCCCCTTAAAATTATCAAAGTTAGCAAAAAACATAGCTTCGTCGAGAAAATGTAAAGAATGTCTACTGGGTAGACCTCATCTTTACCCTCAAAATCTCTAGGATCAAGGAGCTTCCGGGGGTTTTGCCCGGGACCCCTGTCTACTTCTTGTGCACTCCCCCCCCCCCCCCTCCCCTTAACTTCAATTCCAGGATCCGTGCCTGCACTGCAAGTGAGAAAGACAAGATTTATATTGATAAATTAACAAGCCAAGCTAGACCTGTATTAATATTTAATGGCCTCCTGATCAGGTACCCTTTACCTGAGTAATGAACAACAACAGAAATGGTCTAAGTCAGGACATCGGGATTTTAAGGGGACTTAACCAACACTGCTTTCTTTTTATATTTGGGTATACCGGATATGAACTTGGAGAACATCTGCTGTTCTTAATTAAGGAGGATATTATGATAAATAGATGCCTTTTGGGTTAATATCTTTTTCTCTTAATGAAGATCAGTTTGTCAAGTATTTGCATGGAAGTGACTGCCCATTTCAGTATTATTTTTTTCTCCATTTTGTTTCAATTGTATTCTTCTTTTCAGTATATATCTATTAAAATTGAACTCTGTTGAACACAAACTGTAGTACTAAAAAGTTACTTTTGGATTTAATGCTTCCCTGAACATATTCAGTCATACTTGAATTAGAGAAACATGCACATATTGCAACTTTGACATATTTACTAAAGGACTCAAGGATATAGCAAAGCTAAACCACAGGTCCCCGGGACTTTGGTATAACAGAGTTTGACTGTAGATGAGAATTAAGAATCTTGAGTCTGTTTTGACAGAATTGCAAAGAATCCAGTACATATGAAAATAATACACATTTACATGTGTGTGGGTGTAATGGTGGGGGATGATGGGTAGTTCCTAATGCTACAGGGGAAGGGGACTGCTCTTAAAGATTGAAATCATATTCTATGAAATGCTGTTTCCTTGAATTTTTAATTTTTTTTCTGAGTGACCTTAAAGAGTGTAAAATTCATCACCATTTCAAATTTTTGTACAGTTGTTAACCCAGCTCCACCCCCAGAGAAACATTAACGTAAAAGGTCCTCCATCCATCATTCACCTTATTACTGTATGGCACAGCAGAGAAAGAATGTGGACAAAGACGTGTCAGGCAGAATAAGAAATCTACGGTGTGTATGGAAGTGACAAAGAATTTTTTTCTGAATGGTCACTATATACCGCCCCCTTGTACACCTAGCAATCTAGGTTACAATATAGCCTATGAGAAATTCCCCAGATTCCTCTAGTTTGCACCTACATCCACGGCACTGGGTACAAAAGAACCACACAATGGTTTATTTTTTGTTTATGCCCATCAAGTCAATGAGGGATGAAAAAAGTAATAGACTTCCCCCATCTTGTAGCAACTGGAGCATTTAATGACCCGATATATGTATTCAATATTACCTGCTTCGGTGGACGTTAATCCTCATCCAAAACACAATTTATTGACACAAACAACTCTTTACTGACCTGCACTTGTGTCCATCAAATGTAAATACATGTACTCATTAAGTATTATTGCAAGATTAGAGTACCAGTATAGTTTAACTCTAATTTCATCTTACTTGGCCCTGAGTACAATTCATAAGATTAATATTTTAAAATTTCTATTTGGTAGTATATATATTCTCTATTTAGATCTGTGCTTTGTGAACTACATTTTTTCAAGTACATTTCCCTCTGTGGGTAGTTCTGCAGTTCACCAACAGCTAGGGGTGTTTTTTACTTACCTGTCTAGCAACTTTATCCAAATCAGGTAAATAAGTACTTCTGAACCCTTTGATTGTTCACAACTACATGTATGTTACACAATTTTTGAAGGCATTTCAATGTAGAGACTCCATAAACTGTGTACTTTTTAAAAAATATTCACACATTGAAGTGGGGATGGATACTTAGCCATCTAACAGGTTGAAACAGGGTATACATATCAGTCTTCACTGTAGACTATTTTAAGTAATACATTACAAAGGTTATATAGTGCTGTTAGTGCATGTTGTTTAATTAGCATCTTATTAGCAATATGATGTACAAGTGATCATTGGCTCTTTACAAAACTTTCAAATTCTGTCTGAATTGGTCAGATTTGCAGGAATTCAAACTATTTAATACAATGAATTACGGATTTAAAAGTTTCTTGAACTTTTACATGATGGTTTTATGGATGAAAATGAAAACCTTGTATGTATCTGATTAAAATATTGTATTGAATCTTGTTTACAATAAAACATGTTTATAGCAAACATGCTTGAGACAAAGTGATTTTCATTCACTGCATGTGGCTTCAAAATATATTTTGAGCATAACAGATATATATTTAGGAACTAGGTTTATAACAAAGCAAAATTTCCCATCCTTAGCACTCTGTTATAAGCATGTTCTACTGTAATATGTGAATGTAAATGTCAAGGTTTAAGGTCAAGGTTAAGTCAACTTCATAATAGCAAACTGAGTTATACCTAACAGTACGTGTAAGATTAACAGCTAGACTAAATTGACACAGATTGTGGACTGAGTTTCCACAGAATATATTGTTTGCTTTGTAACTTACTGTCCAAGAAAATTCAGCAGTCTTGTTCGAAATTTAAACTGTTTCTTGACCATTAATGCCAAAGATATCAGAGCTCCTAATAGTGAGATACACGAGTGATCTTGGACCTGATTTATTTTTTTTATTGATACATGTATTAATTGCTTGTGGCTGATTTAATTCCCTGCAGTGTCAGCATTGCCACTGCAGGAATGCATCGATATCCCCAGACAATATTGACCATTATAGAATAGAATAAAAATCAATACAGCTCTCAAAGTCTAAATGTCTGGGTGCACATTTGACCTATATCAAAGGGCTAGGTTACCATTTGTCATTAATGAGGATTGCATTTGTACACATAATTAACGAAGGATGAGCTCACAACTCATTGCCAGCTGGCAAAAACACAAGGATGTGCCCAATGTTACCGAGATGTGAGGATTCACACATTCTGTGCATCTCAAACTGACAAAATATTTAACGAATGGTCCATTAGCAGATTGTTGTTTTTTTTTTAAGTTTTAAATTTTACCTATCATTATATTCACTTTATTGAAGTGTATTTTACATTAAACCTGCATTTTTTAAAATGAAAGATCGATTTATAAGAGATTGCAATTGATCATTATAGTGAGACAGAGGGGTGTGGCAGGGTGGTCAACCTCCTAAACAAAATTATGTTTTTACGATCAATATCATCACCGTGTGTGTATAATAAAATGGTAATATTGCTTTTTCATATGAATATATTCATCTGAGTTGAAACACAGATTCATCGATAATGATGATTAAATGTTTACCTCTTTAAAAACACCTGTTGCTATTTAATTGCATTACAACACTGACTTGTAAGCTCAAACTTTGTTAAAAAAATTTATATATGAACAAATTAACCAATGTATATGGAGAGAACTATGTTCTATACAAAGTACCTATTATCTAGTATAACAAATATTCTGTCTATCACTTACAATGACAAGTGATTTCTGCATAGAGAGGATTATAATAGATAAAATCTAGCTATCATTCTCAGCAACAGTTTAACTGCAATTTAAGTTTATCATTATAAGTTTGAGACCTGAATTTGAACAAATGAATACAGTCAAACTATTATACTCACCCAAACTCCTGAGCATATAATTTTAGATGTTAATGGATAGACAAGTAAATCCTAGATGTTATTTACAACAAAATAAACAAATCCTGTTGAACTGTGCCGAAACAGGAAGGAAGTGAACACACAAGGAGCCTAGCTGTATTAAAACTAGGATTATAGTATAACCACTCGTAATGAGATATAACAATAAAAACCTAGCTAGTCCGCTCCGAGAGTGAGAGTGAACTCCAAGCTTGCCAGCAGTCAGACTGAAGCCGAGATGTGCACGCCCTAAACACAATCCTCCTCTGAGCTCTGTCTCTCGCTCAATATATATTAGTCACCTCAAAAGTTCACACACCTTTCTATGAAATACATGTATTGAACAGAATATATATAAAGCATACCATGTGTGACTACAGATTTAATTCAGTCCCTCAAGTTTTTCATCTCTGGAATAAGTTCTATAATGTCACACAAATGTCAGTTTAATTAGCATCAATAAATGTAACACAAAACAGTTGCAGGCTCTCTCTAGTCTGTAGAACAGGGGAGATTTTATAGCAGATAAAGTAAACTGAAACCTTAATTACAGTAGCGGCTACCAGAGTTTTTGTCTCTTTCATTGATTGACCCCTGAAAAGGGAATTCTTTATCATCACCTGGCTTAGAAAACTAGTCCACCAATGGGTTAGAAGCAGTAACAGATGCCTCATGCAATTATTGGGACTCTGTTTCCTATACAAACATTTTTTAATTTTCAAAATGCTGATATCAACAAATCATTATGGCAAAGAGTAACTTACTTCTGTGATTTAAAGCTGAATCAATTTAACAAGCCCATGGGCCACATTGCTCACCTGAGTCACTAAGCCCTGCTGTTCTTCATAAGAACCCACCATATTTACGTATTGTATATGTATACATAAGAATACATGTATTATGTTTAATTTTGGTAGCCTTTTGTGGTTCCCCTACCCTTGGGTCATGATTTCACCAAAATTGAATGTACACTGCCAGAGGATGCTTCCGTCATATAAATATGACTATACATTGTACTGGTAGTCAAATCATAACTGAAAAGAAGGCTTCATTTCAAAAATCTTTTTTCTGATAAATTCCTCTATAAACTATGATTATCTACTGGACCCCACCCTACCCCTGGGATTTATTTGATTTCACCAATCCATATCAACTTAGGATGTTTCCACATTCATATGGTTCACCATGGCTTTACTGCTCTTAAAAAGAAGGTATTCCCTCTTAAAGATGTCTCGATTTCATCCCCGGGCAATGATTTCAACAGATTTTAATTTACACTATCTTAGGATGTTTCCATATATGTATGTCTAATTATGCTTTCCTGTCCTCGAGATTTTTAAAAATCTTTTCATATATATCCCTAAAGTATGTAAATTAAACTTTGATTCCCTATTCCAACCTTACCCTTTTCATGCGGGTCATAATTTGAACATTTTACAATCTATAAAGACTATATTATTTCAGAAAACTTCCACAAGAGTTTTACGTTCTTGGTCCATGCCAGTGGTTCTTGAGAAGATTTTAAGATTGTATGTATATTTCAATGTTAAAATTGCCTAATGTGGCTTCATCCTAGACCCAGGGTCAAACCTCTAGAAGCTTTGATGTACATGTCATCTTTCCTGGACCATGGGTTCTTGAGAAGAATTTTTTTTAACAGATTTTGTCTTATTATATATTTCAAAGTAAAAACTTTATTCTCAACTGTCACTCCATCTTATCCTTGGGGGCCATGATTTTAACATTTTCCCCCTAAAACTAAAGTTCCCCCTATTCTGACAGCTGGACTGACAGACAGATTACAAACGCGTGATCAGATAAGCTCATTTGAGTTTTCAGCTCAAGTGAGCTAAAAAGTATCCATATCAAAATTTGAAATAAATTTAAATAATTATATTTGGAGACAGCAAAAACTTTCCTTGAATTGTATATGATAGGGGAAATAAAAAAAATGTATAATCCTTCCTGTTCATATGGAACTCTGAACCTTTTACTTTTACTAGACACAATGTATTAAATGTACTGGCAGACTGTGCTGATGTATAAGGTTGTTCCATGTTTTTCCCCCATATTAAGAGTCTGCATGTGCCTTGGTTTCTGAACACCCCATATCAGAAATAAGAAACCACAAAATTATACATCCTGACATTGATCAATCCGGTTAAAATGTCATTAATTCTGACAATTTCTCGCCATTTTTATTGATAAACTCAAACTATTAGGTATTTACTAAGCATTTCATAACTTTTGACTTATGTCATTTTTATCACTATATTTTGTCTGTATTTTTTTGGAGAGGAGGGATAGGTAGGAAGGTTTTTGAATGAAAATTGGAAGCTTGAAACAGACACAAAATCACAACAGCTTAAATGCATGCTGTAAACCAACTTTTTTTTGTGGTGATCTGGAAAAAATAGTTCATGACAACTGATTTTCATGACCAAGCCTTTTTTGATCTGTTATAAATAATCAAAGAGACTTTAAGGACCAGTTTGCAGCAAGAAATATTTGCGATGACGAGGCTCCCATGAACCTAGGGAAAATTTCTCGCACAAGAATAAAAGTTGGTTTACGGTACACTCTGGTCCAATAACAGTTTTTCCAACTGAATTTCTCTGTAAACAATTCATTTGTACCAATGCTAGCTACCACCCATTTATGTTGCAAAATTCAAACTTTCACTTTATTTCATGATGTCTTATTACCTCAAAACTAATTTCCTATAACATTAAATCCTGACCAAATCAGTTACAATTTATGCAAGTCAGTAGACTGCAAATATAATTTTATTTTGAAGAAACCTATAAAAATTCAAAAATTGTGGTACACATTCCATAAGGAAATTCATTTTATATTAAAAACAAATGTGGTACATATCCCTTTATGTGTGCTTTCTATTATTTCATGAAATAAAGCTACAGCAGATTGAAGAGATACATGTATATAGGTCAATAGGAAAAATACTCAATATAAGTAAGTAATAAACCTTTTTTTGTTTGTGGGGATAGTGGGGCAATTTGAGCTGTGGGCACTTAATGTTATGTACCACACTGCAATGGGTACCAGCTAATGCTGGGAATTAACCTGCCATATACTGGTTCCCATCCAGGGAAACTCAATGACTCACACCAACTTAGCACTATAAGATACCACCAACCAGGTATTAGCTGTGGCTTTATGAACCTCATGGATTGGAGAAGGCTCTAACTTTTGTAATCAAATTATCCAACCTTTCTAAAGACCACTTCATAATTTATGAAAAAGGTGTAAACTGCTCCAAACAAAACAGATTACACAGTATGGTATTATACTGCTTTTTCAAAATCGTAAGTCATATTTTTAACATTGTATAGTGTGACCATCCCACCAGTCAATCCATTCAAATCACCCGAGTACAATGTATATCCAAAGAAAATCCAATAAAAAAAATGTGACTTTGTGAGGCCACACCTCAACACATTTGATTTTAAAGGCATTCTACTTTTATTACACCTGTACTTATATACATGCAAAGAATTGATTATTATACCATTTTATTAAAACATAACTTCTGAAGAATTTGTCTTATTAGTATTTATATTAAAAAGCACAGTATATTGTAAAATGCTACACTGTGTATCAGACAGTGATGTTGTCACCTACCTTGCCCACTTCCTGAAAGCTTTATACTGCAGGATCAGCAGCTTCTGGGTTAGGACACAGCATAAAATTACAGTCCTCAGCTAAATCCCCTTATTACTGTGCGTCTGTACTCTGACCAACTTCCTACTTCACACTGTCCACTTACAACTAGTATCTACGATCCTCTACAAACATATAAGGAAATTTTTTTCTAGTCAATATAATACACTTAAATAAGTCTTACTTCCTCTCTGATATTTCAGCAAGACATTGCCTAAAGACTGAACTCATTTTACTTTTAATTTCACATACAAGTTCTGTAGCTACAAAAGAAATTTTTTTTGACCAAAAACATTCTTTTCTTTCTTTAGTAAACAGATTTATGGTAATATTCCACAAACTTAAACTTATATACAGTGAAACATGTTCATATGAAACATGAATATTGTGAATTCATTCTTACATTGTACAAAATACATGTACCTAGAAAGTAAAAATGTGTTTGTGAAACACTGATGCCCCCATATGGCAGCTTATGATGAGGGTTGAATTTTCTCTAATGCATGTCAACCTCCAAGGTCAAAATTGTTGGTACCCAAAGAAAGTTTTTTCACAAGGAATATACCTGTGAAATATGAAAGCCCTAGCTCCAACTGTTCAAATGTTATGGCCAAGGTTAAAGTTGTAATGTCAAGGTCAAAAATATTTTTACCCACTGAAAGGTATTGTCACAATGAATATGCATGCGAAGTTTGAAAACTCTAGCATTAACTGTTCAAAAGATATGACCAAGGTTTAAATGTGATAATTTTTTGTAAAAAGTGGGTCAAACTCCAAGGTCAAATTTGGTGGTATGCAAAGAAAGGTCTGGTCAAAAGGAATGCAACTGTGAAATATGAAAGCCATTGCCACACTCACTAAAAAGTTATGAGCAAGATTAAAGTTTTTGTGGACAGACAGACAGATTGACAGGGCAAAAACTGTATATCCCAGAATCTTCGATTACAGGGGCATAAAATATTAGGATATGTAAGAAGCAAACTCAGCTATGACTTAAATCACCTTGTGAATAACAATGATCAATGTTGTATTCTATAGGCATGGAATTGAATTTAGATCAAACATGGATGGTAGCTAGTACTGGTATTATGATAATATTTATAAAATGAAGTTTAACAAATTATCAGCTGCAGAGCAAAGAGGCAACTTACTCATATCATGTAAAGCAAATAATTACATATTTCTCTAGTGAATCACCAGAAGTTTTTTTCTCTCCCCACTTTCTTCTTGTTAAACTGAGCTTTATCAGTAAGCACACAGACAACGTGAAGATGTTTTTTATAGTCACACTGATAAATTGTGGTTGAATTCCAAACAACAAAAAACAATTCCTAAACCATCCATTAAAAGTTTCATCCACAGATAAAACAAGGAGAAGGCTGTCACCTCTTTATCAAAAGAGATTATTACAAAGAAACTCTTCCCATCCCTATCCTGTGTGAATGAGTTTTTGTATTTAAAACAATTTAAACTTTAAACAATAAAAATCTTTCAAATTATATCAAATACTTGTTATATTCAAAAGACCAGAAGTATCTGTTGAGACTGTAGGTCTACTGGTTTG